TAAAAACCGTACAGATATACAGCGGGTAAAATAAGTATTGAAAACATCACCATTTTTCTCAGTAAATATATTACTAGAGGTGCTAATGACATGAAATTTTCACCAGATGTCGGTAACAACCCAAGTGATCCATACATACAAAGAAATCAAACCATAAATGTCCAGAAATGAAGTTATTTGTAATAATGTGGAATGGCACAGGGAAAAAGTATTGAACACACTTACTGAAATTTATCTAATACTTTGTACAAAAGCCTTTGTTGTCAATGACAGCTTCAAGACGCCTCCTGTATGGAGAAACTAGTGGCATGCATTGCTCAGGTGTGATTTTGGCCCATTCTTCCACACAGTCTTCAAATCTTGAAGGTTTCGTGGACCTCTTCTATGAACTCTGATCTTTAGTTCTTTCCATAGATTTTCTGTTGGATTCAGGTCAGGTGATTGGCTGGGCCATTCCAGCAGCTTTAGTTTCTTTCTCTGAAACCAACTGAGAGTTTCCTTGGCTTTGTGTTTGGGCTCATTGTCTTGCTGAAATGTCCAGCCACGTTTCATCTTTATCATCCTGGTAGATGGAAGCAGATTTTTATCAAGAATGTCTCTGTACATTTTTCCACTCATCCTTCCTTCAATTATTTGAAGTTTGCCAGTACCATATGCTGAAAAACAGCCCCACACCATGATGTTCCCACCTCCAAACTTCACTGRTGGTATGGTGTTTTTGGGCTGATGTGCAGTGCCATTTGACCTCCAAACATGATGTGTATTCTGGCATCCAAACAGTTCCATGTTGGTCTCATCTGACCAGACTATATTCTCCCAGTATTACACAGGCTTGTTTAAATGTTGTGCAGCAAACTTTAAAGGAGCTTCAACATGCTGTTTCTTCAGCAGTGGAGTCTTGCGTGGTGAGCGTGCATACAGGCCATGGTGGTTCAGTGCATTACTTATTGTTTTCTTTGAAACAATCATACCTGCTAATTCCAGGTCTTTCTGAAGCTCTCCACAAGTGGTCCTTGGCTCTTGGACAACTCTTCTGATCATTCTTTTCACTCCTCTGTCAGAAATCTTGTGAGGAGCACCTGGTCGTGGTCGGTTTATGGTGAAATAATGTTCTTTCCACTTCTGAATTATGGCCCCAACAGTGCTCACTGGAACCTTCAGAAGTTTAGACATTCTTCTGTAACCGATGCCATCATTATGCTTTGCAACAATAAGGCTGTGAAGGTCTTGAGAGAGCTCTTTACTTTTACCCATCATCAGATGGTTCTTGTGTGATACCTGGCCATCATTTGGGACTGAACCATCTGATATTAATTTGCACTGACAAGGGGCAGGCTTGCTTTCTAATTACTGAGAGAGTTCAGCTGGTGTCTTGGCTTTCCATGCCTTTTTACACCTCCCTTTCTTCATGTGTTCAATACTTTTTCCCTGTGCCATTCCACATTATTACAAATAACTTAATTTCTGGACATTTATGGTTTGATTTCTTTGTATGTATGGATCACTTGGGTTGTTACCAACATCTGGTGAAAATTTCATGTCATTAGCACCTCTAGTAATATATTTACTGAGAAAAATGGTGATGTGTTCAAACTAATTTTACCCGCAGTATATAAAAAAAATTGTTTAAAAATCGTCRAAATGAGTATATCTTAATTTTTTAAGATGTACTCCAGCAGATTACACCACAAACATTTGGGGTCGCTGCCAAAGTAACCACAACTTTTTGCCAAAACCTTTTGCCAAAGAGGGTACAAAGCGAGTTGAGGTGATAACGACGCGGACAGTGAAATAATGCGCATGGCCAAGAATGCAGTTGTGCATGCCGTGCTAAAGAAAATAGGCTGTGATATTTTTAAAACGGTCTGCTTAAAATGTGTTCACACAATTTGTTGGTACCTCGGTCCCAAATACTCAGAATTTGATAAGAAAACATTAAAAATATATACTTTTTTTTCTTTCAATTTTTACGTAGTTTTGAGTTGCCAACAGTCATAGCCCCGCGAGGTAGTAGTAGGTCTGGGCAATATGGCTGGAAAATGTATCACATTGTACGTCGATCTTGATAATTATTGATTAGGGTTTTGTTTTACCCATTTGAAATAAGGACCAGGAGAAAAAAGGATGACCAAACCTGCCAAACTGGTGACGTGACCTTTCCTCTTTTATGCACAATTTCCTCTCGAGCTGTTGCGCTCATTTTCTCCTTTCACTCCATTGCTCTTTTTTATTTTTAAAGCAGCACGGTGGTGAAACATGTTACTCAACAGGTTGTTGCTAGCTTAGCAAAAAGTGAGGGAGTTGTTGATACCGACAACCTTGCTTAGCTGGGCTTTAGCCCCCGTGTCGCGATTTTACAGCTTCAGTAGCTTTATTTTTATTTCCCTACATAAATTTTGTAAACTTACATAAGCTTCTGTAATTATCAACATTTTATTGAACGTATAATGTATGATACTGATTAAGTGTCTCAATATATATCGTTATATCTCCCAGTCCTAGGTATTAGCTTAGATTTTTTTAAACATTTACAAAAAACAAACTTTTGTATAGTTTTTTTTTAGTCGTAACAGATGAGCAAAAGAAATATGCACCACATCTGAAACACATGAAGATTCTGGGTTTGTATTTAGACAAAGAAAAACCTCACATCCATCCAACAAAATCATTATAACTAAAGTTAAAGATTACATGTCAAGATAGTTATGTTTGAAGACAAGAGAGAAAACCACAACCAGCTCCAGACAAGTTTTCTTTTCTATTGATGCTCTGCTGGTTCGTTTCGCCTGACTGCATTTAAAAGCCTTKTTCAAAGTCGGGTTCACATCAGGACAGGTGGCTATTATGACTGAAACAAAGATCCCATCCTCAGATAATTCCAATTACGACTCTGACGACATTGTGTTCACAGTGAACGAGCAGCTCGTCACATAAAAGGACTCCTCGGCACCAAACACATCAATAGCGAAGGACATTTAGACCAAGACACACATCATTAGAGAAAGGAAGAAATGCTGCAAAAGGATTTCTTTACTCTTTACTGTATGTTTGTACAAATACTCTACAAACTTTTAGATCAGTTTAAGGGAAATAAACTTTAACTTATTGTTGCTCAGATAGTTCTTTGAACAGGAGTATTATAAATCTTTTTATTGTTCTGATGATCATCTAGATTATTACAAGTTTTATAAAAACTTGTGAGTGAAAATGGATTATTGGTTCAAACCTTTGATTTCACCAGATCTTTTTTCAAAAACAGTATTTTCCTTTTAAATGAATGTATTTTCTGGAGGTTTTGGTGCCTAAATATCTTTTTTGCTTTAACAGTTTCAGACTACGTTGGTGCCTACTTTTACTGTAGTTTTGGAAAAGGCTGAGCAGTGGGGCGGGCGGTGAATACTTCAGTATTAAGAAATATGAAGCCTTATGGTGGCCAAACCTCAGTCTTTATTTTGTTCAATATCTTCGCCTAATGTGTCTGATGTGCAAGTGGGTCCTGTTAGGAACAGTAGCTGCCGTCTCTTGAGCCCCTCAGCCCTCTGAACGTCTGGATTTAACTCTTCAGCACAGAGAATGAACATTTTTCAAATACCTGAAGGATATTTACACACCTGCTACGTGTGAAGGGAGCAGAGGAGCCAACTCGGTTTCAGACCATTGCAGAAATGAGACATTTCTAACTTCATGGATGGATGGCTGATATTATTCGGGCCTGGTCACAAAAATGTGTAAACATTCATTTCCAGAAWTGAGACTTTTCTTTACTTTAACAAAAACAGAAACTGGAACTTTGCTGTTGACGGCTCCAGAAGAGGAGGTGGGTGGGGTGGGGGTTGCCTCGAGGGCATGAAACTACAGTGTAATCAAGGTCTTTGCCAAATTACAGACCATAGACATCACTAAGCACAGTTCAATCAAGGGCTAAGAACGAGGTCATCCATTATACTAAAATTCCTAAATCACAGAGTAAATTCTCGAGTGAGAACATGAGACAGAAGAGACAGCCTCTACTTATTCAAGGCATTCTAAGTGTCTAAGTACAAAAGCATACTTTTGTTTATAACAGCACAAAACAAGCCTTCAGGAGCCAAATGATAACATCAGTCAACTCAGTGCATTGTTAGGATTGATCAAAACTAGAGAAGCTTGTGAACGAGTTCAACAAAAAATTTATTCCTAATCAAACCCCTAGCCTTTTTTTTTTTTGAAAGAATGCATATCACCCACTGCCTTTCAGGTCATTTTATGTTAAAAAATAAGTTATTTTCCATTTCAGTAAATCCTCAAAAAATAGTTCTCTTTTACGCAGTAAGATGTCCTACTTAGAGGATTGTGATCGACTCTCAGCTACTAACACATGCAACCTTAGCTCAATATCTGCTAAATCAAACACGTTACAGCCATTTTTGTGTTGGCAGACATCRTGAACTTGGTTGACMCCAAAAGTTASTCAGCTGTAGAGAGACAGCTAATAATTATTTACTGAAGGTGGCAATAAAAGACGTACYGTGGTTCATGAGACATTTTGCTAACAGACAGACAAGACAGAACTTTGAATTGTTAAAAGCAATATCTTAAACAAAGAGCTTGAACAAAGATCTGTTGGTGTTCACATTATGTTTTGGTATGGGCCTCAGCTACTACTTTGCCAAACTTTATGGCAATATCTGTAAAACTGACCAAGTTATAGCCATTTAAAACACAYACATTAGAAGGTCAACAGTCTCTTTTTTCCAAAAGAATATTGTTGCTAAAATAATTGAGGACAAACAAGTGTAAACATTCATTTTAAAAAAAGATAACAAATTATTATTTTTCTGTTTTATTGTTGCCGTTTTTGAACTTTTGTTTTGGAAAGTGCAAATAGGATTTGATGATTAAACTCCCATCAAACTGAATGTTTGTAATCTCACTCTGCGGCAAATAAAACACACACACACACATCCATTCAGTCAGACACACACAGAGTTTTGTTTGGCCACAATGTGCAGGTAACAAACCTGGTTAATTGAATTGGCAGCACAGGATGCGAGGCCTGTTCCCAGAGAAGACACAACAAAGATGATGGGATCAAAGGCCACCGGAGCAATCGCAAAGCCAGCTGCTGCAGTTGAAACCACCAGGGCTGAAATCAAACGACCACAATAAATAAATAAATAAATAAATACAATCTGATGTTTTTACTTCTTAAGAAGAGACAACTTTTTGTTTTTACTGAACTTTAACTGTTTAAATGGTTAAATGTGCAAGATTTTGCATTGTAAAAAAAAATCTTTGCTCGCTCTTGAGCGAGCAGATTTTTTTTAGTAGGGCTCACAAGAAAACCAAATAAAAAACAATATTTTCCAAAAACAAAAACACTGTCAACAGGAGGATGTTGTGTGATGAAGCACAATATGTGTTAAACCAAAACCAAGCCAGTGACTGAGCAGACCTGACACGATAAACAAAACACACTTTCACCATGTTTCAGTGCCTCAATGAAGTCTTAATGTTATAAGTAATGTTTAATTTTATCCATTTATAATAGGGCAACTCTTGCTATGTATTCAAAGCTGATAGAGAGTGGCTACAAAAAAACTGTTGTGCTGCAGCAGAACAGCAAAATCCAGCATTATGGTAAGAGTTGAGAAACTTGAAGCACATCACAATTCGGTCCGATTACAACTCAGAAAGCTGCAATGTGATTATAAATGAATATTCATACATTTATAATCTTAAAACTTAAATGACTATAGCTTACATTACATAAGCATTGAATTAAATACATTAGAACTGACTTCAACCATCTGCTTAAAGCAAACCATGACAATTTAACCCACATACCATTTTAAGTTTTGCAGCTTTAGCACACTAATATTCCTGCTGTCTGCAGCAGCTTTGWCTATGAGCAACAACATATCTCTGTCAGTGCTGTACAGCTAGTACAGAATGTTAACGTTGCACCGATTATTCAAAATAATCAACTATGTCGATTATAGAAAATAGTTGACACAAAATTTTATTATCTAACACTTGTTTTATAATGTGAATGTTTATTTATCTGCAATGAAATACACAAAGTGCTGGGGGCAGAATCGCTTCCATTGTCTGTGGTTGCAATGTTTACTACTGAAGAAGAGGTGCCAGTGTGTAAAGCACAGAAGACACCGCAGCAGACACATCAAAGAGCGATAATAATGGTGGAATAGAAATCATGTCAAAGAGGCTTAAACAAACAAGATTTAAACTTTCAAACGTTGGCTACATTTTACTGAAAATCAACAAAAGAAAGTAAAATGCAGACTCTGTCATTCCATATGAGCACAGCGGCAGTTTCAGAAAAGTAGCTCGTCCGTCAAGATGATGCTTCACAGATCTTATTTTCAGACTGATCACTTCAAGCTAACTTGTCCATCAGAAAAGTGTTTCTTGGAATCAGAGCTACCAGTTATGCTAACGTTAGCTAAAGTGTTAGGACCTATCTGATCAATGAGTTATACTACATCCTGTCTCGTCTTCACCCGAGGTGTCTTGCTCAAGGACACCGCGACATGTGGGCATGGCTGGGAGTCAAACCTGTGACTTTCTGGTCCCAAGTTGGCTGCTCTACCACTGCACCACAGCCATCTTATGAATGTAGCTTTAAACACAGTTATTGTTTAGTTTGCTTTGGATTTGCAGCAGGGTAGGTTAACAGTCCCTCATGCTGGGCAGAGGCCATTATTTTCAGTTATTCATACATTAGCTGTTTGTTTAAAACACTACTTGTAGTTTAATACGTATTTAATTTAAGGTTTTTATGATCAGACATATTAATGTTAGAAATATACGTGTTTAAGATATTCAGCTGATGTGTTATGGGTTGTTTTTGTAATTTGCTTTGGGAACTGTGAGCAGGTGAGATGAAATGTGTACTGGAGCTGCACCCACAGGAAGCATAGATCAGGGTTCCTACAATTAAGGCAAGTTAAATTTAAGACCTTTTAAGACTTTGTAATGCCAAGTGAAATTAAATTTAAGACCTTTTAAGAATAAACACAAATGACAAAAAATATTAAAACGGTTGCAGAAACTCATAAACCAAAGTATTTTTGGTTTAAGTATTACAATATTGCTAATAGACCAATTCTTTTA